TTCATTTAATTTAATTATTTTAGGCGTGAACGGCGAAGCAAGAGATATGATACCATCAATAGTCATTATATCTTAAATAGTGACAATAAATAATAGAATTGTGAATTATCAAAATTAATTATATGTGTCATTAAACTGTTTGTAAATAATTGTGAATGATTTCATAAATCGTGTCATCCGAGGGTTTAATAGCAAAATTATTTATCCAACTTAAATTTTGATGTGGTCGTTAATAGTGGCTCATGGAGGACCGGTTGTGTTTCGGGTTCTAGTCGTACTCAGCTGGGTGGTTCAATCTGGTAGGCGTAGCCCATGGTACCCTTGTAAATGGGTAGGCAAAGGCTCTGGTGGACGTAGCCCATGGTACCTTATACATGGGTGGTAGGCGGAGGCTCTGGTAGGCGTAGCCCACGATACCTTCGGAGTACATGGGTGGTAGGCGGAGGCTAGCTCAACATAAGCTAGGCAGGGCACCTTGGCACCTAGATAGCTGGACGTTCCACTGAGGGGACCAGAGCCCAGAAGGGTATCGTGCTCAAGTCATGAAGAAGTTCGCAACCTCAAGGACTCTTAGGATTTTGACCTAATTTGAGGGGAAGACTCATGGTATGATAAGAACTCTTCAGCTTCTACATGACTTCATCTATAAAAAGGACACATGTTATTTCACTTACACAACACACACAAATTCGCTCTCGTTACTCTGCCGTTTTTCCTTTGGACCACCACTGACTTGAGCGTCGGAGTGTTCGCGCCGGGACCACCCCGGCGTGTTTTGTAGGTACCGACGATCAAGGGAGCGCAACCCGGTTCGAAGGGGAACGGTTCAGCGATTCAGGTATTTGTGGTACAACAAATTTATTGAAAAAACATAGATAGATTTTTTAACGAAACGAGTGCGCGCTTGTGAGGTCCGACTAGGCTTCACTAGTTAAGATTTGAATTACACTAGCTTATACCTAAATGATGCAAGCTCGATCTCGTTTAGTTAACGAGTTGAGATCGACTCATCTCATTATGATTACTGAGTAATTGTTAAATGAAACGAGTCACTTGTGAGCTCGACTCGACTCGTTTGATAAAAAATTTGAGCTGAACTCATTTAAAACTCGTTGGTTAACGAGACAAGCTCGATTGACTCGATGAAGCTTGAAAAATGATTTTTTGACATAATTTTTTTATTGCTTGGCTAGTTAAAACTCGAACTTATTGATATTGATAAAATAACCGAGCCCGACCTCTATTATAAGTTCGTTAGGTTACCCACTCGATAAGCGGGGCTTGAGCTTGAGCTCGACACATTTACATAACTAGTTATGAGTAAAAAAATGAGAATCGTTATGCATTTTCTATAAATTAGCTCATTAAGTGCTTGAGCTTATTAATTAACATCGATAAAAATGTAACTCGAGCTCTTTTTTTAAATCAATTAACACTAAACTTCGAGAGCTCGAACTCGGTGCCTCGTTTATAATATTTTGTTAAATACATTTCCCTTCTTAATCATCTAATATTATCATAATTGTCTTTGATTGAAAATATAAAAAATGGTTTAAAATAATTATTCAGTCAACAGCAAATAAAAACATCTTCAAAGACAAATCTCACACACATATATATATATATAGGGCCCTTTGACAAAATCTGAAGACCCTGTTAGATATCAACAACACATGAAAATTTCTATCTTCGTGAGATTTTATTTAATCATTTTAGCAGTGGGTAAACTCAAACACGTCAAAATCACATTATTGATTCAATTTTAGATAGTCAAAATTGACATAATAATAGAATTTTGTGCACCTTCATACGAAGAAACACATCCATCATTCAAAAATGTCGTGCAAATCAATATTGACCACACTTTTATTCACCAAATTATATTGCCAAATCAATTCACAGTATGCGGTATACTAATTGATGGATTAATTTATTTAATTGATAATTAATTTTTGTAATTTTTTTAGATATTATTGATAAATGATTTAATTTTAATATAAATTAATTTGACCTATAATCTCCGGAGGAGATGATTAATTTGACTAATTATCACGTATAAAAATCTGATAACAAATACAAAATTTATTAACATTAAATACAACCATAGAATTACGTAACATCAGAAATGAAATGTAGGTTCGAATATAAATTGAGTTTATTTTTTTTTTTTCAACCATGATTTATATCGACTACATGTCACATTCAAAATTTTATTACTAGTTATATACTTATTTTAAAATTTGATCTCACAACATACATGGAGCAATCCAATTTGTGAAGTAATATTTTCATAGATTTGCAAAAACAAATATTTCCACATCGAGATTTCTGTTACTTTTTTTTTTTTTTTAGCCAGACACGGTATTCGAAGCGTTGCCCCAACTAATCTGGGTCAACCGGGGTCGCACACCTAGCAATGGTGGGTGAGTCTCCCAACAAGATTTTCTGCATTCACAAGAACTCGAACTCGAGACCTTGCTTAAACTAACATCAAACTGCTTACCACTTAGCCAATTTCTGTTGGTTCTGTTACTTTTTTTTGTTTGAATGAGAATAGTTTCTATCATTTTGAAAAAAATAAAATAAAAAAAGACAGTGAGAATCAGCAAAATCTCATTTGTCCTTGGCCCTATGTACTATTTCCAGATCCTGGAGGACCACATATGTAAAAAGGGAAAAATTTAAAACTCACCTACCTTTAAAAAAAGTCAAGATACTGGAAATTTTGTGGAGTAGAAAATAAATAAAAGGTACAGCACCTAAAGAAGGAAATTTAAGTTGAGTTAATGATCTAAAAAACAGTTGGGATTTTATAGTAGGAAGGATGAGGTAGTGAATCATGGGTTTCTTTGAAGTTATATTTTTTAAAATCAAGCATGCTTACATTTTTTTGTATTATTTATTTAAATCTAAAATTCAGTTTTCATTTTACAAACTATGACAATGTAGTATTGAAAATATATATTTTATTTTTAATTATTTAAAAAAGATGAAGAATGCATTAAATAGACGTGGCCAAGTCACCCGGCCCGACCCGCCAGGTCGGCGGGTCTCAATTTAATGACCCGTAACCCATGTTTTAAATACCGTACCGGTGGCCATACCGGTCTACCCACCGGTACGCGGTATTACCGGTACGACCGGTAATATCGGTGGTATTATCGGACTAGCAAATATAATAATATATATATATTTATTTATAAAAATATATAATACCAAATACAAAAAAAATAAAAAATAAATGATCATAATCATTAATTTTAACTTACCAATGAAATAAAATAAAACATTATAACTACCAATTTAAATTTTATGTTTTTAAATTAAAAAAAAATATATTTTTTATTTTTTTTTTAATTTTTTTTTTCATGGCCGGTATTTTGGACCGGTTTTTCCCGGTATTTACGGTACAATACCGGTACAAAACGGTATTACCGAAAATCCGGTATTTTGTGTGTTTTTGTACCGTACCTAAGGCCGGTAACCGGTAATACCGGCCGGTACGGTACGGTTTTTTAAACACTGCCCGTAACCGGGCCGTCAATTTCTATGGGCCTGTTTATTGAACCGTCGGGTCATTTTGGCCAGATCCAAGCCGGTTCGGCCCATTAAAAATAATATTCACAAAACACCGTTGCCCATCTTCCAACCCACAGCTCGGCCCGACCTGGGCCACTGGGTAAAAAAAATAAAGTAAAGAACCGCAACCGACATGTATGGGCACGGTTCTGATTCACAAAACTGCTGAAATTTGAACCGGTTTGGACCGGTTCAGTGCTGGGCCGACGGTTGGGTCGGCCCTTGGCCACCTCTAGGCCAATAAGACATAACCTTGAGAAGCAAATCATATACATTCGATCCTATAAGTGTTTGCAGTAAAAAAAACCTTATTTTTCACCATTAAATTGTACATGCACATATATCTATGCAGATGGCCATGTGAAGCAAAATCTTGGTGGATTAAGAAGATTCAATCCTACATGCATATATAGTGATAAAATTCATATTTTTTAACATTTAATTATACACAAATCTACATATGTTTATATTTATGTAGATATGTGTTGATTCAATGATTAAAATTGAGAATGCACATTCTATAATGTGAAATCTACCAAAAATCTGATTAGAATTGGGGGAAGAGGGTGCGATCCCACCAAATGAAGCGCACCATAAAAGGTGAGGCTAAGTGTACCTTAGTGAGATTTCATCCAAAAATCAATTGGTGATGGAATGAGTAGCCCAATAGGGTTATAAACTAGACTCATTTACTCTATAAAATCGTAAATGATATTCCAGAAAAGATTAGATAGAAAATAAAAGTAAATGTCGAATAGCCGGGACTAATTTTTTTATCCTGTCCCAAACCCGCGAAGTAAACGACCCTCAATATATGGTAAAAGACTAAAAGTGCACATGTTTTTTTGTATTTTCTTTTTATTCACACCATCACATAAAATTAAAAAAAAATATATATATATAAAAATTCAAAAACAGTAAAAATAAAAATAATAAAAAATAAAAAGGCAAATAATGCTGACATCACCTGTATCTCTTGAGAAGATTTTGTGGGACCCACCTCCCCCCCCCCAATTCCCAACCTTTCCTCCTCATTTCTGTTTTCCTCTTCTTTTTTTAAACTACCTCTCCCATCAAAGAATCATAATTCAATGCCCATCTCTTTATAAATACAGAAAATAATATGACCCCATTTTCATTATTTTAGAAAAAAAAAAATAAAAAATAATCTTTTTTTTTTCTTTCATTTATTTGAATTTTGAGGGGAA